GGTGGAGTGTAAATAAAAGATAAATTTCGCTTTAGATAACTTTGTAATCTAAAGCGAATGAGAGACATTGTTGGGAGATGTGTGTATTATAAAAGAAAAAAGTATAAAATGAATGAAGAAAAAGAAGAAGGGGGGGTGAGGTGGTGAATAACTGGTTGCATCCGAGTTTTCGCCCAAGTTCGATTACGTAGACGATGTATAGGCTTACGACGACAGTCTAGGTGGTCGGCGGTCAGGACAGTCGAGCTGCTGCTGCCGCTGCCTGCTGCTGTTCACTGCTGCCAACTTCTGCTGCTAAGAATGCGTCCCGCCGAGACGCAAGCCTACATGATTTTTTATGCTTACTCATCGTCCCTCTCAGTGAACCTTGCGTAACGATGAATGATTATTGGATAATTTGTGTCGAAACGCTTTCGAGTCACAAAACGCTTTCGAAAACCTTTCGTAAACGCTTTCGAGTCGCACATTTTTTGGGTCATCCATTGATCACTTCTCAAACATTTTTGAATATGCATACGAATGTAATAATTTATATTTTCGCGATTCAAATCGTGTAATAAATTAAGTATATTCCTGGTAATATTAAGATACTAATAGTAGTCTTACCCAATTTTCAATATCAGCTACGTAAATATTATTTTTGTGATATTAGTAGAAGTATTTTACTGATACGAGAGACACGGCCCCAGCCTGCGAGGGTAAGAGCTTCAGTTGGCGGGTTGTCCCTCTGGTGCTGCCATCGCGCTGCTCCCGCGACTTCTTTTGCATTAATAATACTTTATCTAATATTAATTTCATATATTTACCTAACTTAAAGCTTACATTTTTATACAGCGTTCATACATTGGATACTTATTTATAGTAAGCCTTAGATAATTCAGAGAAAAAGTGTGTTATTTTCATGTACTTTTCGTAAGTTATGAATTCAATATTCATCACTTTAATAAACAGAACGAAAACTACGATAATCATAGTGCAGTGTGCTCCACGATATCGTTTAACATAAGTTTGATTTATTCTGTAAAATATTCCGATTTTAGTTTGATATTTTTGGCATATTCTGCTATTTTTTAGTTTGGAATGTTATGTGCTCTTATTTCATTTTATCAATGCGTCTAACATCCGAGTTCGTGTTGTAACATTTATAAATATTATAATATAGAATTGAAAATGTGTCCAAAAGTTCATTATTTTGTCTGTGGTTGAACATGAACAATTACGTATCTTCATTCCTTTTCTCCAAAGCAGAACTTGTGACTCAAATGCAGGGAAATGCTACCATTCGGATATGTTGAATGTCGGTTAATATCTCAGATACAAACATTATTATAGTTCGCTGTCATAAACATTAATGTTGAACGTAATTATTAAACACCATTGTAGATGACCTAACCTTTTATTTCTAATGTCAGGTATATGAAAACTCTCGAATGCATTTCGTCTTGGTTATGTGGTGACTTCCTAAATGTAATTTTGAAGATTTATGTTAGGCGTTTGTTGTGTGTTGTGAACGATCCTAGAACCTTATTCTTGAGTTCATTATTCAGTATGGTTGTTGTAAATGACCGAATGTCCTGTATTTTGTGAATAAATAAAGATTCTGATACTTTAATTCAGTAGTCGCTGTTTATTATGAATGAACGAATATCCTGAAACTTGTGCTTAATATTCCGATTTTGCGTTTTAATTAACGAAGATCCTGAACCTAATGTTCATTATTCGTTATTTGTTGAGAATGAAAAAGATCCCAAACCTTACGTTCGGAGTACGATATGTTTTGTAAATGAACAAATAATCTGATACTTTAGTACTCGTATATAATGTGTTGCGAATGAACGAAGAACCTGACACTCATGTTCAGATTTGGATGTTTTTATTGTGAATGAAAAATACCTTAATATCTGTGAAACATGTTCGTGAAAGTTGTTAAGACATCATGTTAAGAACGTGAAACATGTTCGGAGCTCGATGTGTTTTTTAAATGAACAAATAATCGAATACTATAATTCAGCATTCTTATTTAATGTGTTGCGAATGAACAAAGACCTTGATACTCGTGTTCAGATGTGGATGTTTTCATTGTGAATGAAAAATACATTAATATCTGTACGAGTTAGAAGAACTATAAGAAAATCTCACTCACAGAGCAACAAGTGTGCAGACCCTTGAGCAAAACTGTCGCGGTTCACCAGCAGTAAACAGATTAGTTACCGACAGCTAATCCCGCGCGACACACCAAGATAAAATCGCTGGCGCCAGGGTGTCAGATATGGATGGTATTGGTGGTCCGTCTGTATACAAGTTGAGCTTAAATTATTACAAGGAAATGATATGTTGGCGCCGGCTATAGGCGGGCAATGTCTGAGCAAAATAGTTTTCGTTCTGAAAGGAAGTTGCTGTACGAGCGTCCATCTGACCTTGAAAGTACAATACCTACTTTTTTATGAGTAATTTTTAGATCCTGCTTCTGGGCCGCCTTAATGATGTTGTTGAGGAACAAATCTTTTTTTGAGTAAATTGAAATCTATCTATATATACAAAACAACGTTTATTAATTGATATATTTAATCATGCTTTATAAGTTAAGTATATCGATAATACGGTATTAATAAAGCATTTAACGAAGCTATACCGAAAAAGTGGCGTTTCAATTTTTTTCGGGGGAAATGTTCTAGACGACTAAATTGGCGTGAATGAATGATCGCTTCGCGGTAAAACATTCATGGTCGAGGAACCTTTGATGGTCAATAAAAGGCTGGCCTGGTGATGCCGCAATGCATTCATATATCAACATTGGTCTCATGAGGAGACTCAGTAGTAATTTATTATTCTCAAGTATAAAATTAATAAAATTTATTCCCCTCTATATTAAAGTATTATGATGATGCTGTCGTATCAGCATCATAGTAATGCTGAGCCACTTTAATGCCTCAGCGCCTACAGCCTACAAATTGTAGAGTAAAACTTTAACTTTTTCGCTAACGAACTAACACAATTCGATTTTTGATCAAGGTTTTGGAGAAGCAACTAGTTTGAATATGTGAAGAATTGTTGAAATAGTTGCAATGCACCAGTATACTTTATTTTCTTAGAAGTGCAGACAATTCTGACCATTTTAATATCACTCGAATTCCGTCACACATTCAGCTGATTCTGCGAAAGCTTTATGTCAGTGCAACTGACATGAAGCTTCACTAAAATTGGACCCATAAGCCCAAGATTGTCCGTGTCTTCCCAGATATTGTCATGACAGTCCCATTTCGGAGTCAATAATAATGAATTTGCCGAGCTGGGCTCATACTTTCAAAAAAAGATAAGAGATCGTAAGTTCATCAGCCAATTATTGACGGCCTTTCAAGCAAAATCCACCAATCATAGACAAGAAAATAGAGCGTAAATACTTACGTTCACTTAGAGAGTTTTGAAAGTATGGCCCCAGGACTCAAGGTCCTGTGGCAATATCTCGGGATTGCAGGAAACGAAGCTTCCCTAAATCCGGCGATAAGAGTAGAAATTTGCTCTCATGACCTAGTTGCCTCGCTGCGATATTGCTGTTCAAAGCTCACTCAAATTTTATTGAAATACTCGAGTTGCTCTGAGCCTGGGATAAGCTCATCAAGCTGTTCCTGAGATTCGAAGAATTCAGAGTGGTTCCGTGTCGATCGCAGCTCCGCGTGTCCTGAAGGCACAAATATTTAGGTTTACGCTCAAATGAACGAGGATCGAAATAGGTTACATCACTTTCTGAAAAGTGAAATGAGAGTGTTTAAGTCGCATTGACATAAATTTAATATAAATGATTCTTTGAACTTAGCCAAAATTGTACAGAAGTGATAATTTGCTTGATTTTCGTATTAATGAGGCCGTTATTTTCCGCCGAGAAAGCACTTTTGTTGGTACATTACATAGATTTATTTTCGAATGGTTCATTTGGTTGTATTCAGTTTTAACTCGTTCAGTTGGAATGAAAAGTAAATTGAGTACGCATATGCAAGCGATAAACAGAGCCGAAATGAGCGAAAAATTATGAAGATCAAACTAAAAACTTTTAATAACTCGTTCAGCATTTAATAATTCTTCCCAAAAATGTTTTTTTGTTTGCACTGCCTATTGCTTTAGTGTTATGAAACAATTGTCACTTTATTAATAATTTTTAAAAATAGTAAATGTTATATCGGAATTGTAATACAAGTCTAAATATTTTTAGTCTAATTCATACAGACACCAATTATAACGTGATGTGGAACAGATTAAAACTTCCGCAAGAAAGCCGACAACTCTTGAAATAGATTCACTCGAGGCATTCTAAGAAGGTTTTAAAAGCAACCGTCAATCAAAGCTTTTGCCACACAAAATAAGCCATCCTTTTTCATCTTTAGCACTTTCATGAATCATTCATTATAACAATATCGTTGGAAAAAGCTCCTGAGTAATATTTTGTAAGCTGGTCACGAGCGATGTGCCACTTCTGGACATTTTTGTTCCACCAATTGGGGTCACGTCACGAAAACAGACACCCGCCCCAGACAAGCTTGTTGGGCCGCGTTCTTTTCAAATAAAGTTTGTGATCAAAGAACCCTTGAGGGCGGCCAGCTGCTGATGTAACCAACACTCTTGCAGCGCAAGGGTTTTGACAAGACATATCATTGTCGCCTAACTTCTTGATAACGTCGGTGATGGTACATATAGAGTGTGTCGCTTAAAGGTAGCTTTTCTCTTCATTGCCCAACATCTATTGGCATCGTGTCATACCCAAAGTATGTTGTGCCATTGTTTTCGTCTTCTGAGAATTATATGAGTTATCCATGTAATAAAAATTTGGTTCTGCTTTAACAGGACATATAGCACTATTTTACAAAACCTTTGCATTCATTTTGTCCTACCACAAAATAAACAGTCTCATCCTTACAGTAAAGAATTTAACAGTAAAGGAGATAGTGAAAGTGTGAACACTTTAGATAGTGAACACTTTAAACATTTGCTTCTATACTCTCTTTCAAAGTGAGATTGACACGAAATTATGTTCAAATTCTGTTGCAGTGCAAACTGATTATAAAATAGTAATACCAATTTATTTCAAATAATTCGTCTATTAATGTAGCTAAGTTAAAGGCTATTATAACAGCAGCGACGAGTAACATTTATGAAAGTGAACTGACATCCAAAATCGAAAGAAAAGCTCTATTTATTATATTCTGTTCTCTTGAAATATCAGGAAGTGATGAAGGTGATCATGAGAAGAGAACATTTGTTATTCATTCTGATCTGGAGTGCGACTTATTACTCTGAATTGTAATTGGGATTAACGACTCGATTTTACCAATAACAGTGATTTAAACCAGAACGCAAATTGTTTCCTACCCAAATTCGAGATAAATTTTCAGTCACATTACAACTATTGACTCAAGTGCGTAAAATAACATGGGTGATTGACTGCAATAAAACGTTACCACATTAAAGATTGTGTTTCTTATAATATACGTGATTGACCACCAAATTTACAGAAAAAATTATCGTCGATTAAAATTTTATTTCTCGTGAAAATCGTCAGCTACACTGAAAGAAGTATTAAGCCATAGCCATGGTGCAAAAAGCGAACGTCGTCGCAGAGATCTCTCTCAAACACGGAGACTGCCTCACTGCTTCAAGCCAGGTGAGAAATGAACATAATAATTTTGGTGAGTGAATAAATTTACAATTACCTTCATTTTCCATTTTAATTTGCACTAATATAATAGCCTAAACAAAACCAAGCCTATGCGTTCTTTCTGGTCACAATTAGTTAACTATTTTTAATTAGTATGAACTACTATCTTATAATCAATATATTTTTATTACTACGCATCTAATTAATTTATTTCTGGTGAGCTCAACATGCAGCGTTCGAGTGATTTCGAGTGATGTTTTTTATTCTGCTTCACTCAATATAATTGATGTGTTGGAAGATTCTCCCTAAAATACGAGAAGTTGAGTCATCAACTGTCAGGCGTCCATCACATGAATGTCAGACAGCGTCAGGCTTGATCAAGTACCGTCAAACTTTCCAGAACGAACTCTCAATTTTGGTTTTATTTTAATAAGTGCGAAAGGAATATATGAAATAAACAACATATGCTGCTCTCTAACTACGAGAGAGCGTGAGGGATCTTGGAACAAATGAAAAATATATGCAAACCTTTAGTGTCAATGAATTTCAATCGAAAAAAAAATAAAAAATTTTGACGCAAATTTACATCGAAAGTAAGAGATGTAATTTTTGCTTTCCAATCAGATGACCAAGAATTTAACGAATTCAAAATAGATGATAAATAAATAGCGTTGCGGTGATCAGTGTCTGTCATTAACTACCATCATCTGTAATTCACGATAAGCTGCAAAATTTGAATATATACTAAGTCCTCATTCATTTTATTGCGTAAAATTCATACACTCCTCGGAACAACACACAAATGTCTTTGGCATGACACAGCTCCTTGTACTTCCGTATTGTTTTCAAGCCTCGCATCTTGAATCCCCGTACGTTAAGCATTAAATAGCGATTCTCGCTTGCAGATATTCAGTGGGATTTAGTTTTTGTTTCCGTGGGAGACATGCCTGTGGTTCTTAGGCTTGAGATTTGTTTTTACAAAGAGAGCAGAGCTGAAAGATTAACGGTTGTCAGAGTCGGTGTGAAATTTATGCCTTAGCTTTTTATTGTTTTCGTTGCCTTCCATGCGAGTAATTAACTTGAGTGTTGAGTTTAAATACTAAATAAAGGAATAATGCAAGGAAAACGTAATGAAATTTTTTCGATATTATCACGAACGACGAACGAATAAAGCCAGTCATATTACTGAAGATACATCACTTAGAAAATGTTATAGCTAACCATTCTATTTTCATGAGTTATTCATTTACAGTTTCATTACATCATTTCCACCCTTGCAGCAAATCTAACAAAGCTCATAGATGTGTTTAAAACTTTTTGAATTGTGCATAATTTTTCGAGTGTTTTTTTGTGATTAAATAGGCATTATTATTATTATTATTATTATTATTATTATTATTATTATTATTATTACTATTATTATTATAGTATGTTTTATTATAATTATTAAATAATAAGTCTATCAGTAACACATGAGTTTATCATGTTTATGAAAACTTATCAAGAAATGAACCCATCGTAACGTAGTGTTTAATGTTTGTGAAAACTTATCAAGAACACATCGTAACGTAGTGTTTGCCGGACCGTTACCGACAAACTGCATTGTACCTTGCCAAGCGTCGTGCGCTCTACACTCTCACTTCACGACGCTCGGCAAACCTACAGCCAAGCATGAACTGCACCCAACCCTCTACAGACTGAATGCAACGTCTCTAAAATATACTTTATCAATGGTATGATTCACTCGGGAATATGCAGCTCCTTTAATAAATTTTAGACAGCTTATTAATAAGTTCGCTAGTCAATGAATCGGTTGCACTGACTTGCCCGGACACATTTATAGACTCGTGAGTGTGCCAAGATGTCGTCTCGCTTAATGTGTGTGCTGCATGTGTCTTTCGACATCTGCTCTTCTGTGTTCCTGGCATTCGTGTTCAACACCAACACATGTGTTCTTGATCCCTTTCGTGTATTAAATAACTTTTTAGTGATTTTTTAAAACGTTTATTTATCCCCTCAACACACGCGTATAACACATGTTTTACATGTGTGCTTGATCCCTTTTGTGCATTAAATGGCTTTTTAGTTATTTAAAAATTCATTTATTCACATTGCCGTTGTTAAATCATATAATATGTGTGTTAAATATGATAAGTGTTAATAAATATATATAAAAGAGATTATTCGCAACCCGATTGAAGTTTGATGAATGTAATGCGTATTGCGCGCGCAGGAGGCTTCTTGTCAATTTACCTGACAAATCAAATCAGCTTATATCTGATTACATTATCCATGTCAGGCTATATGCAATTAAATTATCCAAATCAGTCTACATATAGTTAAATTATGCAAATCAGTCTACATATAGTTAAATTATCCAAATCAGTCTACATATAGTTAAATTATCCAAATTTGCCTATATCTAATTTATTCTATGGCATCAGTGTGTATATTTTTATTCTCTATCTTAGATTAATTCGAAAAATTTCGTCGAAAATCATCTTACTCTTTACTTGTGCACTGAGAGCAAAATTATAGAAAACGAATTTTCAACATCAATATAATTGTGAAAAAGCCGAGTCTCCATGTATTATACATTAAAAAGAATAATTTACAATTCAAGGGAATATTAGTACACATCAGTAAGTAATTACTCAGATTTTGAAAAATCCCCAGTCAAATGTGCAGCATAGATCGAACAACTCACATAACATGCATTGGAACTTCTTCCGGAAGAATCGTCGACGCCGCCGCAGTTGTCAACACGGAAGCGTGGCACGCTACCGTGTTTTGGTCCTCCGAAGCATGACTAGACGCGCGCGAGGGAACTTGCACTTGAGAAATAACCTGTTTCGTTACATTAAAGCCTCATTATCAGCAGCTACTCATACGGAAAAATAGAAGAGCGAGCTCATGCCGTGCAACATCGTATCGAAATTATAATAAATCGGCAGTTAGATAATACAAGCAGTTAAACTTTATGGACAAAAAGGTTTAATCGGAAGTTAAGTTACATTGACAGTTGGACCTAATTGGCAGTTCGGCCACGTCGGAAGTTGAGCCGCAGCGGAACTTGGACCAAATCGGAAGTTGAGCGACATCGGAAGTGTGGCTTAATCAGCATTTAAACCATACAGTTGCAGATCGGCTGATTGACAGCATACGCAGTTGAGCATCAACGTCCGTTTGGCCATATCGGTAACTAGGCCTAAGCATGAGCCCGGACATATCGGCAGTAGGCCGATAGCAGCAGCTCAAAATCTTGCCATTTAAAAACACTTTTTATAAAGGCAGTTTCACCCTATTTGCACTAGGGACATGATAGCAACTGTGTCATATCAATATAGGTACGCTAAACAGTCTAGGTATATACGCCTATACAGTATAGAGTATAGGTACGCCACACAATATAGAGATGCCATATCGACAGTTGTGCCACATTGGCATTTGTGTCAAAGAAGCAACTGCCTCAGATCGCTGCCATCACAGAAAATTTTTATCAATGATCATTCATGTTATCTAAGATAAGTATCATAGATTAGAAGTATCTTGAAAGTTCGTATTCAGCAACGCAGGTTATTCAAGTTCGCAACAATGACATGCAGCTGACCGGGCAAGTTTCGCATTCCTTTAGAGGATTTCATGTGAAGGTTGCTACGCTGTAACTGGGTCAGGCTTCAGGTGTTTTATCTTCTTAGCTCTTTTAGGAGCCCTCTTTTTAGCCCAGAAATTGTTACGCTGTCAAAATTATTCTGTCTCGTTGGTTTTAAATTTGTATACCTCCAGTTGTTCATACTCGATGACATTCTTGCAATAACTTGAAAATTGTTAAGAATTCAAGTTACAACACTCATATCTCCGGTGAAACTTTTCTTTTATGAAATGGCTTCATTTCATGAAAGAAATTAATTATGTTCTTTCAAGAACAGCTCTGCCATGAATTTTGTAACTATAATATGGAATAGTTGAATGAACTGTGAAAGTAATGGTTTTCTAATTTACTTTATTATAAATATAGTAAATAAAAATAAATAATTGATTAATTTATTAATATGTATAGTAATTACTGCTTCATTCAACATAGCAATACTGCTTTCTTATTGTATATATAGCTGACACTCAAGATGAAATAGATCACTTGGAAGTTTTAAAACATCTCATATTAAGTCTTAAAGTTATTTCGTTATCGTTCGCCTGTTTTCTAAAATGGAATAAAAAATATGTATTGGGTGTGAAAAACATTACATCTTCTTGATACTGATGCTTTTTGGCAGAAATTATGTTAGGTCGAAATTCAAAATGAATGTCTGCTGATGATGAATGAATGCCTGCTATCGTCATGCCAGAATAGCAATTTTATTGCACACATTAAAATTTGAATTGTATTTGACATGGGCGTGGAGCGGCCAAGGCTACATTTTATTCAGTAACATTTCTCAATTAAATTCCAATTGTAAAAAAAATTAACTGCTATGAAGCCTTCAGCAACTCAATTTTTTCATGACCTCACACTAGATGCCACGCAAAAGTCACTTGGACTCGTCCAAAATTTTCAACAGTTATGTGCGTGGGTGCAATTGTAGGCCAATTAAGATATTTTAAGAACAGCAATACGAACTCATTGACCTCTTCTCTTTTTGCTTTTCCTTTGCATCTTTCGTCAACTTCCAGGGATCCCTAAACTTCCCGTAATTGATAAATAAGCCGGTCGCCCAAAGGGCTTTTTGATGTGATACCATCACTGCACTGGGAATTAAATTGTTATACTTGACTTTTAGTTCAGAGAACATGACCCAGATGATTCACATTTCAACATGACTCTTTGACGCCATATTTGCTGACATTTCAACGTGGAAAATAACGTACTTGATATTTGACAAAAAAATTATAATTAAATGTTGGTTTACTTATCCGTAGAGTTACGACAAGGCTTCTTGCTAGAATCTTTACATTTCACTTTTTTTAGTCACAGTGAAAGTTGAAGCAGTAAATTCATAATTAAATTG